TTCCCACTAAATTTAGCCACAGTCAAAATATACTTAGGGGGTATTCACTGGACGCCATATTTGAGGGCACTATTTAGAGCGCATGCTCAGAACAAGCCCACATAAAGAAGACCAGCAATCTCGATGGTGCGGAATACACGTTGCAAAAGAACTGTGAAAGGTCACTATCAGCACGCGCTCAGCAGTCGTGCACACAGCTATGGCCGCCAGCGAATACTGCCTATAACTTGCAGGTATCGCGATTTCTGGGTACTGATGCTTATTTCTGCTTATTGGTTCCCTCGAGCTTATACTTCTGCAGTGTAAAACGAACACGGTGAACTAAACGCTCAAGGCACATATAGTACCGGCATGGCCATGAATGATGTTACATGCAAGCCAGGTATAGGCCACAGGGTGTACGCTCCTCGGATCCGTCCAGAAGCGCTCTTTTTAGCCTCGATCGCAAGGAGCAAAAGCGAACAATAATCTCGAACCCAGACGCTCACGGGGAAGGGGGGCGCGGGGGGGGGGGGGGGGGGGGGGCTGCGTCGGCCTGCGCCGCCGCTTCCCGCTGAGGGCTTCTTCGTTGGTGTGCTGACTGCTGTTTCGCTGGCATCAGTCCTGTTTACCACGGCATGTGAGTATAGTGCCCGTAATGTGAGAGCCGTTTGTCCATACGCCACTTTGCCGCTGTTGATTTCCATCTAGCCGAGCCAGAAAACATCTCGCGACGAGTTGATAGCGCCGCGAGTGACGAAGAAGAAGCGAACATGGCGACGGTTTGTGCGATTGCTTTGGTGGCTCCGGTGTTAAGTGTCTTCAACGTCCTCGTAAGAAGATTCCCCTCCCCCTTCGATGTTATTGCAAGCACCATGAGTGGTACGGAAGATGTGGAATCATCGTCTGAACTACAAATAAGCTGGCCTTCACGAGCAACAGCGATGCCGAGCAGGCGCTCGGCACAGTGGTGTCGTCAGATGTTTTACAACGCCGAGGTATTTTCATTTATCATCTGGAATGGCTCCAAGAGTGGGAAATTATTCTATTTCGCGGATTGTTAACGCCGAGGCGAGTGCCCTCCGTTGCAGTGCCGTTGTCGCGCAAAGTGCGGAGAAAACCGGGTGGCGATGGCGGAGGTGCTCTTTGATCGCTTTGATCTTGCAACGTCGGGTTCATGGAGTCCGGAGTAAACGTACGTACGTGCGTCTGCTGGATCGGTGTTTTGGACTGCCTCAAAACTCTTTCTCACACGCATTTTCCTTGTGAAGCTTAGTAGCTCATTACACCTCGTCGTCGACTGCGCTCATTTGACTTCAACGGACGAGTCTGCGTGATGTGAATTTCACTGCCTAAGATCCTTGGTGTGCTGTAACGAGGGCTAATAAAATATCACCGCGAACTTCTGAACAAACGAGTCTAAGTTTCGTCTGTTATCATAACTGATCGCCTGTCACAATATTAATCAGTAACGTTCCTAGACTCCGCCCCCACAGGCACCCTGCTTCGTTGTCCGATATTAAGGGTCTCCTGGTACCTCGTAGAATTCCAGCTCCCACTTCAAGTAAGTACAATCCTTTAGAACTGGCAATAATTAGTTTCGAACCCAGACGCTCGCAGCGTGTGTGTGTTCGTGTGCATGTGGGGGGGGGGGGGGGGGGGACGCGTGCTAACATACTCGGAGTCCCCGTTTACGCCGCTTCGCGGCGGCAGACAAGGCGGCACATTACAAAAGAAAGCTAATCCTGTCTATGTAGCTTGACCCTTTCGCTAGTCATTCGATGAAACGTCGCGGTATCGTTTTCATTCGCTAAAACGGCGTTCGATCAAGTGAACGCCTCCCACTTATTTCGGCTCGTCAGAGCCGCGCTGCCGCAGAAAGGCAAGCAGATCGCGAAAATCGGTCTCAAACGTGCCACGAATGTAATGTCGTATGCAAGAAGCCAACAATCAAGCATTTGAAAGCTACAAGAAAGCGGTAGCGAAATATTTTCTACGCAATGAACCCGGACTGAAACGCGGATGTCAAGGGTCAGCAGACACCGAGAACATTTAAGACAAGAAAGGTTTTCTCTTGTTTTCTTGATCGAGATGGGTTCTCGAATGTTCACCCCATCTTATCAGTTGGAGAACGGGCCGCGGAGGCTTCTGGTGAAGACATCTTTCACGATGTGCCGGTGCATTCGGACAGCCTGCCGCATCCAGCTCCCCAAAGCAACGCCGCAAACGCAGCCCTCCCCCCCTCCTGCCTGCCACTTCTCTCAGCGTGGTGGCGCGAACGTGGATAAACATGGCGGCGCCCTGGAATGGGCGCGGACACTGGTCTATTTCTACAAGGCGAGATTGTCATGCACTGACACCACGAAGGAGTAATGCTTGCAGCTACAGTACCTTTGGCCGTGAAGAGGCCCTTGAACTCTCAAGCGCGTTACGCATAGCGCTTCTTGCTGGCTGATTTTGAAGTGAGAGGTACAATGGACATTTTTCCAGTAAGGGTCTGCGCACGCGCACAGCATTTTCCCTTGACCTTGACCGCCCTTTCGCCATTCTTGGGGGGCACTGTTTTTTTGCGACACTAATCTGTTCCTATGGGAGAAGGCGAGTCCGGTTGCCCTCCATTTGTAGTAGGCGGCGAAACCGTCATGAGGCACTCCTTACTTGAAAAGGTCCATTATCGCGGTCACTTCATTTCGTTTCCCTACTCCTTGAAAAATAGCACAAAAAATAAAACGTTTGTTTCTAACGCGTCGACGAGTCGTGTGAACTGCCCGTGCGGCAGAGGATTCGAGCTCGGCCGCTCGGCCGCTGTTCAGATCGGTGAGTGAAGATTGTCGAATCACGGCTGCCGGAGCAGTGTCTATCCTCGCTGCAATCAGACCGTAGCTCGTCGGTTTGAAGAGAGCAAACGCTTCATACACGTGCGCGCTTTCGTTTGAGTGGTGATATCTCAGCCATTTTTCCGTCTAATCGTTTCTTCTTTTATGCATCTCGAAGTGCGCGCAACCCGGTGTCACTCAGCTCGAGCGCGTAGCTTTGGCTAATGCATAGACGCCATTTTACCGCCCAAGTCACGCACCGAGTGCGCCAAGAGCGTCACGTGCTGGCACATTCAGGGCAAAAAATGGATGGGCTCACCCTGAGACAGACAGTCATGTAGGCACACTAAGCAAACGAGCAGGCCAGCAAATGAAAAAACAACGCTCTTGTGCACTGCGCAGGCCTCGACAGCAGGCGGCGACACTATTGGCCATCTCCTCTCCCCTTCTTCTACCCTCACAACGCCTACACACACAAACAGCAGGCGGCGGTGGAATTCGGTCGGCGCTCCGGAGCACACTTTTGCCCCCCAAAGTACGAAGGTTTCATTTTTTAACGAAGTAAAAAAGAAGTTTAGCACTGATATGGTTTCTGACTGGGAAAATGAATATAACGTTTAGCACGCTTAGTCGCCTGTGACCTATACTGGTACCAGGCCATACCCCAGGGGGGCTATGCAAGACGTCGGCACTAGGCGGGACGAAGGGACCGGGAAATCACCGCCTGCTGCGATTGTTCAGTGGGCCGCTGATCACACGTCTCGCCCCCGGTCCCTTCGCCCCGCCTCAACCCGTCGTCATGCGTTAACCCGCTGAACGCCATGGAATGCAGTGGTTGGGCCGTAGCGTCGCCTGCGGGAGAACAAATTCGCTAACGTCTGGTTTCTGTTTTACAATCAACTATACAGGGTGCCAGATTTTTATGCGAACCGATTTCTTTTTATATGGGTGAGAGTTAGAAGAGCCTCGGTTTTCACCATGTAGAAACTCGGCGGCGATTAGATGATGGAATAATCGCCATGATAAGTTGGATAATGAACTAAGATACGTTCATTAACTTTAATTCTTAGTTAAATTGGTCAGGTTGCAATTGCAGTATTCACGGCAATTATATTAGATGAAAAACCAATTGAAAAAATTTGCGGAAAACAAGTAATGTAGAATGTATATATTAATCGATAAATTCTCACATTTTTAGCCCGATAGAAAAATATCACGCAAAGAAAACGGCGCAGAGCCCTGTCCCCAATCAGGCCTAGAAGAGTTAAGCTTGAATCAAGAAATACATCTGGTCGACGTGAGAGCGTTCTGGCATAGGCCAGGCATTGGGGCGTGGTATATTTATTACCTAATACTAATACTTTAATGAGCGCGTAACATTAAAAACAAGTGAAATTGTGTGGAATGCAAACTGAAAAGTTATTTACTGCGCAATAAAAAAACTTCCCATGCGATAACGCACATCCAAGAGGAATAATGTTTTAATTGCGAAAATATATACAAATACTCCACATATTTTTTTTAATATTTGCTCATCAATCACAAATGTACCTTGCTACTAATAATAAATAAGGGAACTAAGAAATTCATTTATCGACAAATTCGATCCGGAATTTGCTAGATTTTCAATCAATTTCTTACTTCAAATGTGTGTAACATTTTATATTAACATACAATATTGACTATAAAATATTATATTTAAATTAATTTCCCGAAAATCGTCAAGGGGACATAGTTGAACGTTATTAAAAAGTCATTGAAACCTAGAAAATAGTTTTTTTTTTGTAATTTCTTAAGAATAATGAAAGTGAAAACGAGAAGTGAGAAAATAGCGAGTGGTCTAACATGCGATCCACGACTGGTGGGGAAAACGCGAGTTTTCTGCCCGATCATATCAATAGTTAATAACTCGAAAAAAAATGAATCCGCCAAGCTCGCCGTTCGCGCTCTTTTTCATATCAAGAATGCTCCCCAAAATATATTTTGGGGTGAAAATAAATATTCGACACAAATACCCTGAATGAATTGAGATGAAAACACCAGAGGTTATGGTCCTTAAGAGAAAATAAGTTCTAAATACTGACTGGTGAAACCGGCGTACGCATCAAGTGACACACAAGGTTTCAGTTTCCTCCTTGAGAAACCGGAGTAAGAAACACATAGAACAAAAAAAAGTTAATATTGCAGCTCAGGCGAAAGACTTACCATAAGCCACGAAGCAAAGCACGAGGAATACTTTCAGCGGAACCATGATCACTGTTCTCTTTCGCTCAACGTTTTAACCAAGAGACTCTTCTGGCCGTATATATACGTATTTAATAGTTGGCATCTTTCAAAGAAAACAAAACACAAAATGTTTCTCACTCGTCACCTTTATTATTGACCAGGCCTCACGCACTTGAAGGTCATTGTTACGTAGGTTTCTTATTCACTTTGTTTGGTATGCCCTTTCCCCGATAAGGTTGCAGGTTTTCATGAGACTCTAAGTTCACACGATTGTTGTACAAATAACAGCCATATCTTCGAAATCCGGCAGAAAAATATTGATAAAGGTCGAAAATGAAAAGGACAGGCGTTTCATCTAGAAAATATAGAAGCAAGACATCTGAAAGCCGTAGGCGCCGCATGTCTTATACGTGTGACAACTTTGTCCTCACTTGTTTAGGCTTGATAAGGTCACTATCGAAGTGCAGTAGTTTATTTTTCATTTAAATATATAACATAAATGCAATAAAAAGTCCAGTCTTCAAAAAAAAAAAAAAAACTGCCACGAGGGTACGTCAACTGTAAAGATTGAAATTTAAGTTAAAAAAAAAACTCAAATGGCGCGACATTTGGAACACAAAAAAAATGGTTCCCTGCCGCTAAACAAATCAAGCGAGGGGCATTTTTCCCGCAAAAAACGCAAAAACTATTTGAAAAAAAAAAAATACAGCTCATGGTTTTGTGAAATATTTTCCTTCTGTCTTCGAAAGACAATGGCGTGGAAAATATTTGGCATGTTTCAGATTTTGCGCAATCTCAGTTGCTTATTTGCAAATGCGCCTTAAGAGCTCAAACTTGCACGAAACACGAATCAAGCGCCGCTTGTACCACGCTTAATATGGCTTGGGAGTGACGTCATCGAACCCATGCTGGTCCCCAGGCACGTAGAGGGGGGCGGGGGGCGGGGGGGCATGGCACCCGCCCCCCCCCCCCCCCCTCCCCTCATACAGCATTTTGTCATGGGCGCACTCAAACCCCTTCCCGTCTGCCCCCCCCCCCCCCCCCTCCCGAAACATAATCCTGGCTACGTGCCTGCTGGAATCATTTACACTGGTTTTTTTCAATAAAACAATTTTGACGGTGCAAATTGCATGCTGCAGGAAGAACGCTATCAGAAACAACGCCACGACAATGGCCGATAGTGTGAGCTCGGTGCAAGTCAAGTATTACTTATTTGAAAAGAAGGGCGTCCCTCGTACCTAAATCCAAGAAACGTTTTCGTTGAAAGCTTATTTGCAACTCCCGTGTATTATATATCCGCGCTTGATATGTATAAAATAACTGTACAGCCCATTCTGTCCCCCTGAGAAAAGAACTCTTGCACACAGAATGCGGTGTAGTTAAGGTTTCGAAATGTCGTTTTTTATTTTTTTTTATTTTTTTCAAGCTTGGAGTATTTTTGGTATATTTTAACGCGACTACTTTTTAAAGGGCACTTTTCTCGTTTATAGTTTTGATTTTGGCATAACGACTCTTTTTAGCGCAGTCAGCGTCTATGAATTACAAGGTGTAATTTTGTTTTCTGGGTTTTGCACGTAGTTTTAGGACGCGTTCACATCGGCGATATGGAGAAGTCACGCGATGCGACTAAATCGCATCGCAAAACAATTATATGGTCGCATAGGATCTCGCGATGAGCGAGTTGTCCATCGTTGCTTCTTTAAAACTCTCGCTCCGAAAGCCTCGATTTGAATTAGCCGCTCCGCGACTAGGCCGCGTCGCAAAAAGTCTGGTCAACTGGCGGCTGCTCGAATCGCGTCGCTTTTTTCCCGCGATGGTCGCTTTTGCGATGAAAGTTATCGTGCGACTACATAGCATCGCCGGTGTGAACGCGCCTTTAAAGGTATGCGGAGGGCAAGTTCGCCTGCTTCTTGCGCACGGGGTAGCGGTGACGTCAGAACGCCGAGCCCTAATTGGCTGATCGCGACCCCCTATCTGAGCATCGTCTGCTCCTTTGCAAATTCGTCTGTTCGCAACGTCGTCCGCGTCTGTCTTACCTTTCCTGCGACTTTCGCGAGGCCAGATTCACGAAACGATCTTACGCCAAAAATGTGCGTAAGACAGAACTTAAGAACGAATTCGTATTCACGAAAAGAAATTTTCGTAAGTTTTGCGCAGGTTACGACGAAATCCTACGACAGCTCCGAAGCTCGCATGGCCGACAGCGTCGCGGTCGCGACGACCCACGGACGTTTATTTTTCTACGTGCGCTTCTCACGCGTCCCGACTTCGAGCAGCAAGAAAAAAGTAAAAAGTACTTGAAACAGACCACGACGAACAAGAACGCTGGATCCACAAACGCCCAGGAAAAGCTCCAATGGCCACGATTCCACCGAACATGACCAAGCGAGCTTCGGCAGTTAGGCCTAGCAGGCACTCCGCGACTCGACGACCGTCTGCCCACGACCGGCTGGCGTGCTGAATGGAATATGCCCGCGCGACCGTTGTGAACCCTTCCCGTATTATACTTTGATCGCTGACCTCAATTTTAGATTAAGAGGTCACTTTCTTCCTCTTTTTATCTCCTTGTTTCCCAAGGCAACGGTGACTCTCGCCGGTGAAAAAGCGGTGAATCTCCGACAGACGGAGGAAAGGTAAAGCAGCCATCGCTTTGACTAGCAGACGTAAAGCAGACGACAAAAACAACGTACCGCTCGAGTTATTTCGTCTGCCCTCTCTGAAAGGTGAAGTCGAGCTCGCTTGTAAAGTCGCAGGAACGGTAAGACAGACGCAGACGACGTTGCGAGCAGACGACGTTGCAAAGGAGCAGACGACGCTCAGATAGGGGGTCGCGATCAGCCAATCAGGGCTCGGCGTTCTGACGTCACCACTACTTCCTTTGTCATGCGCAGAAGACGAAAATGAGCCCACTTGCGAGGCGTATAGACGCCTCAAAATTTTGTTTGGGCGTGGTCGACAAAACAGAAGCTAGCCACTCGAGGCGACATCAACACTGGAAATCAGCCGCTAGGCGGACGTGCCGTGATGGCCGTTCTCGTCCATGCCTTGTTCTCGTGCAACGAGTACGCGATCCAAGCGGTACCTACCTCTGTTGCGCTAGCCGTTCTTGGACAGTAGTTACTAGAAAGGCGGTACCAGTAACTATTTATGAATAAAATAGCGCAAAACAACGAGGAAGGAAGGACGAGGTAGACAGGAAGGGTGCTGCCGTGTTCTTCCTTCCTTGTTGTTTTGCGCCCATACACGCTTTGTGCCCCTGACACCGACTGGGCGGCTGAGCCATGCGGTCGGTGTCGGGGGCACAAAATGTGTATGGGCCCATGCCTTTCCCTGAATACCTGTACACCGGGCGGCACTGTGAAATAAAGTGCAATACAGTACAATACAATACAATAGCCCGCCAGCTTATCTTATTGCGGTAAGTAGTTACTTTTTTCAGTAACTTGTAGCTTGACTCGTTACAGCTTAGTAAGAAGAACCTCTCACTGTTAGAAAAAAAGGTGTAGTACTTCGTCCTTTTGTTGGACTAAATTGATGTCGCTGAGAGTGATCCCCCTAAAACGGCAAAACCCCGGTTTAGTCCCTCCCTTTTCTTTAAGTTCCTTTGCATTGATCCATTTAGGTCGAAGTTTTGAACCGTTAAAATTAGTGTTTTTGATCTCTACAGCAGGATATCAGGGACTAAGTTTGACTCTTCAGTTGATTAATTACGGTTCCCTTAGCGCCGTCGTGTCAACAATCGGGGGAGTAATTTTGATCTCTTTAAGGATAAACAGTGCTATGATGGGGATTTATTTTGCCACTTAAAGGGATGATATTTATAGTGACGGGGGAGAAACTCCCGTCCCTTTGAGGACCAATTATTAACACTTATAGGGATAAATTTTATAGAATTTAGGGAAGTAACCTTCGTCCCTTTAAGGATCAATTTTGACACCTTTAGATACTATTTTTATAGTAGCGAGGAAGTAACTTTCGTCCCTTTGTGGATGAATTTTCAGTATTGAGGTAGCAAATATTATCCCTTTGACAATCAATTTTGACACTTTTAGAGATGAATAATACAGTAATAAGACAGTAACTTTCACCCCTTGTGGACGAATTGTACACATTTAGAGACGAATTTTCTAGTGGTGAGACCCATAAGGCGTGAATAGGAAGTGAAAGGTTTGCGGCATTGAATGGCTTCCTGTTCTGAAAAGGCAGATTTTGCAACTTGTCTGAAAAGGTATATCTTCTAAAAAGTTGCGCAAACCGTCTTTTCAGAACGGGAAGTTATTCAACACCGCAGGCCTTTCACTCCCCTTCATAGCTAAAAGGTGGAAATATCGCAGTACATCTGAAAAGTCGCACGCCTTTATTTGCAAACAACAACCCGGTGTTTTCAAACAAGCAGCATCATGTCCTACCCCAATCTAAATGGTAATGATGCCCGCGAGACTGAAAGTATTCGGACAACACTCGTAGAATTTAGAGGCAGGTTTTAACAGCCAACATCACTCTTTTACGAAAAAAGTTGCACCAGCAATCTGTATGCAAAAATTAGCACTTTAATTATGGAAATATATTTATTGTGGAACCACATAACAGAGGAAATAAAAACAATTTCACATAACAAGAAAGTATAGAGAAGAAAATACTGGCCCCCTGGCACTAAAGTGCTTGCCAAAATTTAACACGACTTGCATATATAAGTGTGTTCAATGGGTCTTAGTGTTTGGAATACATTTTAGCGCTCAAAAAACAGGGACAAAGACGCGAGAAACAGACAGCACAGTGCGCTACTAACAACTGATTTTATTACGTGAAACCACACATTAATATCATCCCAGTTTCTGATTTTGCTCCACCACTAGCCAACCCGGTGCCAGGCTGCGTCATTGAGGAACGCACGCTCTTTGTCCAGTAAATCAATTGAGGCCACGCTGGCGCATGCTGCACCACCCTTCTTAATCTTATCTGCCTCGACTATCTCCCTCACACTTTTTTCCTTGTGCCGTGCCAGAATCTTGCTCTCGGAAAATA